CCTACTTACCCCTACTTACCTACTTACTACCTACTTACCTACTTACCTACTTACCCCTACTTACCTACTTACCTACTTACCTACTTACCTACTTACCTACTTACCTACTTACCTACTTACCTACTTACCTACTTACCTACTTACCTACTTACCTACTTACCTACTTACCTACTTACCTACTTACCTACTTACCTACTTACCTACTTACTACTTACCTACTACCTACTTACTACTTACTACTTACTACTTACTACTTACTACTTACTACTTACTACTTACTACTAACTACTAACTACTAACTACTAACTACTAACTACTAACTACTAACTACTAACTACTAACTACTAACTACGAACTACCAACTACTACTACTACTACTACTCCTACTACTACTCAAAAAACAAACACAAACAGAAAAACATGATTTTTCCGGGTTTCAGAAGTGGCGTTGGATGGTTTTTGGGTGCAATTTTGACGCTTCCTCGTCCTTCACTGGCATGGTGCTTTCCCATCTGGCAAATGTGATTTTAGAGGTCAGGAGGTTTTGTGAACAAAACCTTTTTCCACGCTGTGGTTTCAGAAGTGGCGTTAGGCACTTTTTGGGCGCAATTTTGACGCTTCTCCGCCCTTCACTGGCTGGGGGGTCATATACATATATATGATTATATATGCATAGATCATATATGATCATATTACTGTATATACACATCAGTACGTATCATAATCTCCTTTCTCGTGCTCCAGTGAAAGCTTTTCCCATCGGTGTCACTGAAGGTTCGGCTGCAGGTTTCGGCCGCACCGCCACGTCCAAAATTGCCAGAAATTCCTCTGCCTCATCCAGTTGCGTTTCAGATATAGATGTTTTTCGGCGTATCAGCATATTTCAACGTTTGAACAATGCTCAACGAAACAAATTGAAACCCATGCAAAAAAATAAGCTTCCAACACCCTGATCGCCGATGCTGTTTCGGCTCAGGTTGAGCTCGGTCAGAGACCTGTTCCTGTCGATCATAGTCCGACTTTTCCAACTGCTGTATGTTCATTTCCCTGGAACTGTAACGATCTTGGACTGTGTACCAGTTTGATCCATTTCAATTAATGGTCGAAGGAAGTTTAGTTGTCAACCTTCCGACAATATGGACAGATGAAAAGCAGAGATGGGAAGAGTAAGAGAAGAGAAGAGAAGAGAAGAGAAGAGAAGAGAAGAGAAGAGAAGAGGACGGGAAGAGAAGAGAAGAGAAGAGAAGAGAAGAGAAGAGGAGAGGAGAGGAGAGGAGAGGAGAGGAGAGAAGAGAAGAAGAAAGAAGAAAGAAGATCAGAAAGATCAAAAAGATCAAAAAGATCAAAAAGATCAAAAAGATCAAAAAGATCAAAAAGATCAAAAAGATCAAAAAGATCAAAACGATCAGAACGATCAAAAAGATCAAAAAGATCAAAAGATCAAAAAGATCAAAAAGATCAAAAAGATCAAAAAGATCAAAAAGATCAAAAAGATCAAAAAGATCAAAAAGAGAAAGTCTCCGAAGATTAACGATCCAGGTGCGCGAAAAGGTAGGAAAGTCGCGAAACACTGTGTTTTTCTCCACATCTTTGTGTGGGGTTCTTGTTTTTGGTTGTGCACTTCTGCCTGCCTCCGCCTGCCTCCGCCTGCCTCCGCCTCTCCGCCGCCGTCCCTTTCCACACATACAACTTGTCCACACACAACTTGCTCACACACAACTTGTCCACACACACAACTTCCTCACACACAACTCGCTCACATACAACTTACTCACACACAACTTGACCACACACAACTTGACCACACACACAACATGGCCACACACACCCTCTTTCACACACCATCTTCCGTCACTTTGCGTGGCAGGCTTATGACACTGGACTGGCTCTGGTGGCGCGCTTGGGCCGCAGTGGCCGCCGTTGTTGCCGCGGCTGTTGGCGTGGCAGGCGTGGCACTTGGTGCTGTCGACCGTCGCTTTGCGTGGCAGGCGTGGCACTTGGTGACATCGGCCGTATCTTTGCGTGGCAGGCATGGCACTTTGTCAACACACAACTTGTCCACACACCATCTTTGACACAGCACTGTGTCACACACCATCTTTGACACACCCCCTTTTTTACACACCATCTTTCACACACCACTTTGTCACACACCATCTTTTGCACACCATCTTTGACACACCCCCTTTCACACACCATCTTTGACACACACACACACCATCTTTCACACACCATCTTTCACACACCATCTTTCACACACCACTTTGTCACACACCACCTATCACACACCACTTTGTCACACACCATCTTTCACACACCACTTTGTCACACACCATCTTTCACGCACCATCTTTGCCACACCCTCTTTCACACACCATCTTTCACACACTTTCTTTCACACACCATCTTTCACACACCATCTTTGACACACAATTTCGTCACACACCATCTTTGACACACCATCTTTTACACACCACTTTGTCACCCACCATTTTGACTCTTTGACACACCATCTTTCACACCACTTTGTCACGCACCATCTTTCACACACCCCTTTGTCACACACCATCTTTCACACACACTCTTTGACACACCCTCTTTCACACACCATCTTTCACACCACTTTGTCACATGCCATCTTTCACACACCGTCACAGACCATCTTTCACACACCATCTTTGACACACCACTTTATCAGGCGCAAGGAATTGTGCACCTTGTCAAAAGTGAGCAAAACGAGTGAGGGTTTTGTAGCATGTCAAAAACGATGGCAGGCGTGGGACATTTGAAGAGGATCTGCATAGATGCATTTTCCGTGGCAGGCGCAGAACGAGAGACATGTTCATCAGATATGTTAGGATTGAAATCTCCAAAGTCTGGTACACTCTCTAAGGCATCTTGGAATTAAAATTCGGTCGAATCACGTCATTGTGGCCAAAGCCAAAATGCACTTAGGAATATGAAATTCACGTGGCTAAAAACTTGCGCCGCCAGAAAATACACCTTCTTCCGTGCGCATTTTTGGTCTCCAGGCACGGCATATTTAAAATGCACCTGTCCCCATGTGTATTTTCGGTGTTTTGACGTTGCGTATTCTTTGCATATTTTTGGTGCATTTGCGACGCGATTTTTGCTAAAAAGTGTATTTTTTTACGCGTTTGGCACCTGTGTCTCGCCCAGGCGTATTTTTTTATGCCTTGGGCACCTGCGTCTTGTGCAGGTGTATTGATTTTACGCGTGTGTGGAAATCGGACTTGCACGTTTACTGCGAGTGTATTTTCTTACCCGCGCATTGTGCATTTTTTTGGAAAGCGCATTTTTTGGAGTGCACCTGTGGAAACAAAAATCACATTCTTGCTGCAAATGTGAGGGTTTTGTCGCATTTCTAAGAACGATGGCAACCGTGGGACATTTGAAGAGGATCCGCAAAGATGCATTTTCCGTGGCACGCAGTACAAAAGACATGTTGATGAGAGATGTTAGGAGGTCAGGGCGCTGATTTCCTGAGAGGGGTTGCATTTTGGAGCATCAGATCTGTAGGTTTGCTAAGATGATTTTGTGTGACAGGTGCAGCACTTCGTATGACCTGGCATCACTTTTTCGTGGCAGTCGCAGTACTTTAGACAGGTGGAGTGGAAAACTCGCAAAACGCATTGGCACGAGGCCGTCAGCTCTGCACTCAACTTTCCATTTTTGAAGGAAGTCTCGCAGACTTGTTTCATTTTTGATGCTGTCAACTCCGAAAATTGAGGAAGTCTCGCAGAATTGTTTTGTTTTTGATGTTGTCAAGTTCAAAAATTGAGGAAGTCTCGCAGAGTTGCTGCGTGTTCAAGCTTACAGATAGACAGATAGATAGATAGATAGATAGGCAGATAGATAGATAGATAGATAGATCGATAGATAGATCGATAGATAGATAGATAGGCAGATAGATAGATAGATAGATAGATAGATCGATAGATAGATCGATAGATAGATAGATAGATAGACAATTACAACTACAAGAACTACAACTACCACTACACTACACTACTGCTACAATTACAAATACAAATATACTACGCTACATTACACTACACTAATTACACTACATTACGCTATTTAAACTACAATACACCGCACCAATTACACTAACAACAACAACAACGACGACGACGACGACGACTACGACGACGACTACTACTACTACTACTACAACTACTACGACTACTACTACAACAACAACAACTACTACTACTACTACAACTACTACTACTCCTACTCCTACTCCTACTCCTACTCCTACTACTACTACTACTACTACTACCACTACCACCACGGTAACTACATTTAAATATACGGACTTTTAAATATACGAACAGGTATTACAGACTACGTCCGGGAAGGTTTTCCTTGGCCCGCCCAGCCATTTAAACATACGGAATACAATTCATTTAAGCATACGTACGGTAGCTACATTTAAACATACAAACTGATATTTCACACTACCTCCGGGGCCTCGCGGTCTGGCGGCCCGCCCTCCACATATTTAAATGTTGTTACCGTACTACTACTACTACTACTGCTACTACTACTACTACTGCTACTACTACTACTACTGCTACTACTACTACTACTCCTACTCCTACTCCTACTCCCACTTCTACTACCAGTACCAGTACCAGTACCAGTACCAGTACCACTACCAGTACCAGTACCAGTACCAGTACCACTACCACTACCACTACCACTACCACTACCACTACGACTACTACTACTACTACTACTACTACTACTACTACTACTACTAGGTTCCCGACCCACACAGGGCCGTATGGTTTTAGGAGTTTTTCATCAAGAAAAATGTCGTTTTCGCTACAGGGAAACGTCATTTTTTATCATGTTGACGTGAAAAATAGGGTTTTGAAAATCTCCAAAACTACTTTGTTTTTTGACATAAGTTCGTGTTTTTTTGGGATGCAGCACTTTTTTTCCCTTCTTCTCAGAAGCTCTTCATTGCTTTGACGGCCTTGCAAAGTTCTTCGAGAAATCGGTGAGGTGTCAGTGGTCCCAAAGATTTTCGCCAACAGTAACCCAAGACAAACTTGTCCAATTCAGGGTGCTCTTTTGTGTTGACTCCATGATACAACCGTTTTGGAAAGCTTTTGGGAATATAATTTTTCAGGCCTTTCCACCATCTGTCAGCGATTTGCGTCCCCACAGTGGACAGGAAAAAAAAGGGGTTCTTCGCATTTATTTGGTCCATGAGAAGATAACCATAACGTAGCATGACGTGTGTGTGTGTGCAAGTTGACATGAACGTTATTGCCCCACCCACCCCAACCCCACCCCCATAACGTAGCATGTGTGTGTGTGTGCAAGTGCAAGAGAAGATAACAATAACGTAGCATGACGTGTGTGTGTGCAAGTTGACATGAACGTCATTGCCCCACCCCACCCCACCCAACCCCACCCCAAGATATCCATAGCGTAGCATGACGTGTGTGAGCAAGTGCAAGAGAAGATCACCATAACGTAGTACGACGTGTGTGTGCAAGTGCAAGAGAACATAACAATAACGTAGCATGACGTGTGTGTGCAAGTTGACATGAACGTTATTGCCCCACCCCACCCCACCCAACCCCACCCCAAGATAACCATAACATAGCATGACGTCTGTGTGCTAGTTGACATGAAAGACCATCAAAAAACGAAAAATTGCCAAACAATGCTTAAAACACCGCGGCCTTCTATGTGTCGGGCTCCAACTACTACTACTACTACTACCACTACTACTACCACTATCACAGCTACAACTACAATTACAACTACACTACACTAGTTACACTGCAGCACACTACAACTAAAAATACAACTACAACCACACTACATTACACAACACTACACTACACTGCTTACAATGCATTACACTACAACTACAACTCCAGCTGCAACAACAACTACAACTACCACTGCATTACGCTACACTACACTACACAACACTACACACACTACACTACACCACACCACACTACACTACACTACATTACGCTACATTACGCTACACTACACTACGCATACTACACTACACTACACTGCACTGCACTACAACTACAACTACAACTACAACTACAACTTCACTACACTACACTAATATCGCTGCACTACACTACAACTGCAACTATACTACCTTACACTAGACTACACTACACTATACCACACTACACTACACAACGCTACACGACATTACGCTGCACTACGCTACACTAATTACACCACACCACGAATATAACTGCAACTGCACTTGCAAATGCGCTAATTACACTACATTACAGCTACAGCTCAACTACATTACACTACACTGCACTACAAATACAGCTACAACCGCGACTACAACTACAATTGCACTACACCACACTAAATCCCGCAGTTGTGGTAAGGTGACCACTGCAACCATTGCAACCACTCCAAAAACCACAACTCCAACCACCTGTCGGTCCATCAGTGGATTCGCTCTGCCATCCGTGACTCACAACCTCCTATAGGTTTCCTATTTTTGAAACTTCCGCCACCGCCTTGTGCAGTACTATTGGTAAATAATGGTAGCATCTACACAGCACTGTGTCCGCAGTTGCCTGGATACGCCAGAAGCCAGTTGCTGGGCACCCCTGAGACAATTGCTCCATGAGTCCAGGCATGACGGGATATGAAAACTGCTGGCCTTGACCCAATGCGATTGTCAGAAAGGTCAATCCTTGACAGTCGAGTCAAGCCAAGATGAAACTGAAGCAAAAGCAGACGCGTACGGTCGTCCACCTGCGGGACCTGTCAAAGTGATTTTCTGGGTTTCTATATAGTCTTTTGAAACATTTCAGAGTAGCTGAGGACAAGTCTTCTTCAGCACGTTGTTGCTGTCTAGAACCGCAGCAATTGGATCCTTGGGTCAAGAAGTAGTGATTTTGGCGTAAAGCGCGACCACTTTGCAGAGGGCAATGATCCGCAATATTCTTACCAAAGATATCTACATATCACATCTCATCACCAGTATTCACATCGAGGTACGATTCCTTCATCTGTAATCCCGTTGCTGCTCAACCTCAAGAGGTGCAGTGATCTCTCAAACTTTCGTGCGCATGACACGCCCAGAAGCTTGAACTGCACTTGTAGGGACCCAGCACCAGTTCAGTTAGAGCTTGATTTCGCATCAAAGCTCCTTGAGTGGATTGCATGATTCTATGTCTGCTCGACGTATCAAGCCTGAGACCATTGGTCATCCTGCAATCCAGCTGGCTCCAGAGTTACCTGGAAAGGACACCAAAGATCAAAGTTCTCAGAGCACCTTGAAATACAAAAAGTTCGTGCAATATCTTGCAACCAGTGCATGCACTGTGCGAGAAATTGCTGAGGCTGGTTCCAATCTTTGCTCTTGTCAACCTCAAAGACGTCACCTTGAGTGAAAGAAATCCAAGAATCAAATATGTAGAGATGCGAAGCTTGAACACTCCGCATGCGTTCGACAAGGTATGCATTGTCCAAGCGCAATGTGATGCCAAAGGCTGGCAAGCATGTAAATCTGGCTGGATTGGCTCCTGACAGTGCTGTCTCGCTTGATGGCACCAGACTAGGTGATTCGTAGCATGTGTACACAGCTGGAAGAAATGTGGCTGTCAAGCGGCTTCAATTTGTTCAACCAAGGCAGTCTGCCATAGAGCCAACTCTACTTAGAAAGGAAGAGAAATGCTCCAATTGAGAAGCATGCAAACTCTTCGAGTTCTTGAAAGCCAGAAGCAACAACCTCGGCGAACCCCTACCCTTTCCCCCGGAAAAAGTATGGTGCAAGTTCGGTGCGAGAGGACATCTCAGGCTACAGCATGTGTGTCGCTCAGATCCAGTTCAACGCCGTGATTTCGAAAATCGGCCTGAAATTTGACATCGCAAAATATCGCAATGTGCGGGTTCCAAAAAGAGCAGAATTAGAATCGCGGGTACCATGGCACTGTCTCATTGTGCACCCGCCCACCATGCTGTCAAGTCACCAAACTCAAGACACCCTTGGGAAGCAGCTTCTCTCCCCAGGCCTCAACCTTGGTACAGTCGCGTACCATTGGGCCATAGGACTGCTGGCACTCATGTGAAGTTCCCAACAGGTCTGGAATCACATACACATCCGTGGCAATTTTGTACAATCTGTGTAAGTTTAGTGGTTTGAAAATTTGAAGGTTGCCTTTATTGGTTTTCTCAGGGCATGACCCCTTCGTCAGCATGCCCCGAGAGATTGAAGTGCCCAAGGATGCTGTACTGACACTGATGCATTTGAAGCAAAATGCATCAAAATGCAAAGCTTGCAAGGCTACCATTGGGCCAAACAAATTCAGCATTGAACTTTTCTGCGACCAGCAGTCCTTCTGCCAGTGGCATGCCTAATTATGCAGTTGGAATGTCACAGTCAGGTCTTGCCAACTTTGCATGCTCACATATCTCCAGCTGAGATGCCAAATCCACCAAACTGGAATCCAGGTCCTTGTCGAAGGCTAACACAGTCTGCCACCGAAAAAAAACACAAGTCAACTTCTTCCAATAATGAGACACTAAAGTTGAAGCGGGATGGGGAAGGAAGGGAAGACAAAGGAGGTGGTGGGGGATCGATAAGTTAAAAAAAGTTGTATGTGGAAGAGTTGTGTGTGTGTGCGTTAGAAAGGTGTGATGTATGGGGGTGAGACAGTTGTGTGTGCAAGAGTTGTCTGTGTGAGGAAGTTGTGAAATAGTTGTGAATGAGTGTGAACGAGTTGTGTGTAAGAAATTTGCGTGTAAAAGAGTTGTGTGTGTGTGTGCAAGAGTTGCGTCTTGTGTGTGTGTGAGAGAAAGCGGGCCTCCCAAGCTACGCGGTGGAGAGCAGGGCGGGACGTTCGACAGTCGCAAGGACGTGAACTGACCGGCCAGTGCTTCGGTGAGTGCCCAGCAAGGCGCATTAGCCCATAGCCCTTGCTGTCATACTCGGTTGGAAACCGAGCGTTGGCCCGCGCGTCATCTCGCACCCCCGGCCAACAGTGACAGACGACACCACGTCGGTCTGCTTCGTACAGGAACACATGCACAGTGACGTAAAACTAAACGATGCAAGGTCAAAGCTAGGTGCTGCAATCAAGATTGGAGAGCACCATGCTACACTTTAGCTATATACTAATAACCAGCCGCACACCATTGAGGAATAGAAAAAGACAAACAATAGCAAGTAACAGCTGTTTCAAAGCCGAAGCGCCCAAAATGAAACCAAGCATGCAGTTTGGTGACAACTGGCCTCCCACCTGACGCAGCCTGAGCACATTGCACATTGCTTTGTACTCACCGACACGACCTTGGCACAGACGCGTCAGAAGTGACGGCGTGTGCCCAGCAAGGCGCATTAGCCCATTGCCTTTTGCCATCATACTCCGTTGGAAACCGGACGCTGGCCCCAAGCACACAAGACCGCGTCATCCCGCACCCCCGGCTAACGAGGTGACAGGCAACCATAGGTCGCTCTGCTTGGTACAGGAACATGCACAGTGACGTAAAACTAAGCGATCTAAGCGCTTCCACCGGCCAACTAGTTTGACAGACGACCATAGGTCGCTCTGCTTGGCACAGGAACTCGTGCATAGTCAGGTAAAAACTCAGCGATGCAAGCGCTTTTTCCCACGTTGGGTCAAAGCGTAGGAATTCGGTTGGAAAAGATATGGGCATTGTGTCGAAGCTAGAACGGACGAACCGACCACGCACGCTTAGGCTCGATGAGATGCGCGGATAGGGACCTGGCCGCAAAGCAAGCGTGGATGCAATTGAACCGAGATTTTTAGTGGTGAAAGGCGCCATGCAAGCACTTCTGCCCACGTTGGGTCGAAGCTAGCACAAACAAAATGACAACACACTGTCCATCGGGACAAGCTTCGTCATGGGTGCCATGATCACACAGAAGTTAGGAAGGCACCTGGCCGCAAATCAAATGTGGACACAAGCAGAACAGTGATAAAAAGCTATGCAAGATGGGTGCAACATGATTTGCCACAGTTTGAAGCTAGCTGCAAGAAAATTGAAAACAACAGCATTGGCACTCACATCATACGGCACAAAAATGCACTGCGGTCTTTTTGGCAGCGCCAACGTCATCTGCGGCGCGCGTAAATTCTTCCCACGTTGGGTCAAAATGGAGACTTGTCGATTCAATTGTTGGGATGAAGTCTGCCATCATCTCCAGTGGTGCATTGCTGGCCATCGTCTCCAGTGGTGCATTGCTGTATGAGTTCCAAAGGAAGATTCATGTATATTCATGTGCCAGAGTTCAAGGCAAGCGCCTATATACACGCTGAAGCATCACTCGATAGTAGGTCTGGACAGCTAATGTAGCACGTACGAGGAGAAACGGATCGTAGTTGGGTCCGGTCAAAGTCCAGTGTGCCTCGATCAGCTTCTAAGGTCTCAATCAGAGACCAGACCTCATGCTGCGCAGAGGTCTGCATCTGTTGCCATTCCATGGGCCCGCGCCAAGGGTGCCAATGCGCAAATACAGATACCAGATTAGGCCGTGAATATGCTTGAGCCTGCGGAAAAACATGGTTGTATGAATCAACCATGACGCAATCTGAAAGCTTGTTGGCACAGGGAAAATCGGTCACAATCAATACCGTCGTGCTTGTCCTCTTTAATTACAAGATGTGTTCAACACGATTTGCCAGAGTTTCAAGCCAGCCTGCAGATGTGCATGGTTCGAGGAGAATTAGTCACAATCATTGACAGAGATGCCGTGAAGAGACATCAAAGCATGTCACTTACAGCTGTGACCGCACAGCAATCCATGCTTTTTAAACTGTGTGTCTGATCAAAATCTTTACATGGCATGCATCATGTCTTCCCACGGTGGGACAAAATCGACACATGACACGAGCTTTCATGAATTGGCATGCCACCACTCAAGTTTTTCCACGTTGGGTCAGAAATTAGTGCAGCAATTGACAAAAGGTCAACTGGCTACCACCACTCATGTTTTCCCACATTGAGTCAACAGTGAGTGCAGCTAGTGACCACAGACATCAATCTAGCTACGCAGCGCGGTGCAGGACTACACATTCAGGCACCGGCGAATCGTTTCATTGGTGCCCATGCCTGGTCATATGTGATGGTCTGTGGGGCACTCACCTCTGACTGATACAGCTGCATCAGAAAGCTCGTGGCCTCTGCGACGCGGAGTGCATCGACCGGCACGTGCCACGGCCTTGCAGCATCCAATTGACCGCCGAAGCGGGACCAGCGCTCCGCAGCTTTGCCTGGTGCAGCACGCTTGTCTCTGCCGCAGCAGACAGCAGGCAACCCACAGATCTCTTCACCCGCATCGCGGAGGTGGCTGTGTTGTCTTGCTGGAGAGCTTCCTCATCGGCCAGCTGCACATCATTGAAGGCCATCAAGACTCGCACGAAACTAGCTTCCACTTCACCAACACAAATCAATCCCAACTGGACAGCAACCTGCAGCATGTTCAAAGGTGCCGCGGGACAGCCAGTGTTCAACTGGCAATGCAAGACAGACTTTCCTCTGCAACGCGCCAGGCTCGACGACAGCGCTCGCCCCACTGGCCCGCAAACGCGGCTGCAGGTGCCAACTCCAGAGTTTGTCGGTAATCATTTTTCACGGTAAGTGAATCTGCAAAGCCACTGGGCCCCCGGAACAAGTCGCGCAGCTGCAGGCGCACTGCCGGAGTGTCTTGCACTGAGTCTGATAGGAAGCAATCCATGCTGGCCGCTGCTCGCAGCACCAATTCGTGGCAGAGCACGACGGCGCACTGGCAGTTGCAATCTGCAAGTGTGAGCCTCAGAGCGAAGCGCTTCTCGGTGCCGTCCGTGGGGTGAGCCTTACATCACAGCGCCGATCTTGGGAACTATTTCCAGCAACTATGTATTAAAAGCTCAAAAAGCAAAGAAGAACAAATCAAAAGGTTGGACGCCCTGCCTCGCACGGTGCTGCCTTTTTGAATTTCACGCAGGAACCAATGAGCGACACATCCGTGTCCGTCTTCACAGACGAAATGCCCAACACCTGAGATTTAAGCCTACGACTTCAAAGACGGTCTCCAACTTCCCCAGTTGCCCAGGCACGATGGCACCGACCAGAGCACCCAAGGCCCAAGGACGAGACAGTGGCAGGGCAACCAACCCAATCCTTCACAGGAATCTCCGTCAACATGCGGCAATTGTCTTTGTGAGCCCTTTCTGCCTGCCTGAAGCAAGGTCGGTCGGTTAAGCAAAGATTCTCAGAAAGGAAACAACCAACGTGTCTCAAGTGTCACAAAGCCAAAGCGCATCGCCGTTGCCATCTCGGCAGTACATGCCACAAGGGAGGTTCCTCGCCAGCTGCCGCTTTCCCACGATCTTTCGTCCCTGCGCTTGCTGATCTTGCTGATCAAAACTTGATAAAGCATCAGACTCGTTCCAGGTGGCTGCCAATTCTTCGGCTTCATCATGCCAAAAGGAACATCTCACTCGTGTTGCTCCTTGCTGCACAATAACATTGCACACCCAGCAACACCATCTTATGTCTGGCGTTACACCGAACCTGGATTCTCCACAATTGCGACCGCAACTTCTGCCGATCTTTCACCTGATCCAACACAGAGAGTGGCACCAGCGGATCGGATGCAAGCTGGAATTCCCTGCCATGGATCTTCATCGAGCTTCTGCACAATGACTTGTAGCCCCAAAGGCCCTTTCAGATTCAGATGGTAATGCAACCGCGACGTAGAGTATTGCGCTGGCGCAGCCACGACGCAGCTCCTTGGATCGATACCAGATCATCGACCTTGCACTTTTGTGCTAGCTTGTCTCCGGTGCCCGCATGCTGGACGGTCTTGTCAGTTAAACAAATCAAGTGAAACACTCAATGCTTCGCATTTAGGATGAAAGACTATGACAATCTGCGTGTCGAATTTCTTCTCCGGTGAGCTCTTTCCATGTTGGGCTACAGCGACCAGATCAGAAATAGGTAAACAAACATGCACAAGGCCTCTTCCCACGTTGGGCCAAAGCGAAACATGCCAGCATCGCTTCCACGAGTAAGTTTCTATCAAACATGCAGAAACATGCCAGTATCGCTTCCACAAAGTATCTATCAAACATGCACAAGGTCTCTTCCCACGTTGAGCCAAAGCGACCAGACCAGAAATAGATAACCAAGTGACGAAGTAGCAATCGTATCGATGATGCAAGGCTGCTAACAAATACAGCAAAACATGGCCAAACATGGCTTGCACGCAGTTGGCTGTAACACATGCCAACATCGCTCCAAAAAGTTTCTATCAAACGGGCGCAAAAGCCAATGTGAGCAAGTGCCACAGCTGCCACGCAACTGCAAAACGAAGGTGGGTGTCGCCAAGTGCCACACCTGCCACGCAAAACGAAGGTGGACGTTGCCAAGCGCCGCGGCGCCCCGGGCGACCAACGGAGACCAAGCGCGCGACCAGATCCAGCCCAGTGCCATAAGTGCCACGCCGCCACACAAAACGAAGGTGGATGTCGGCAAGCGCCACACCTGCCACGCAAAGTGCCGGGGCGCCCGGGCGACCAACGGGGACCAAGCGCGCCACCAGATCCAGCCCAGTGCCATAAGTGCCACGCCTGCCACGCAAATGGAATGTCGATTTCGCCAAGTGCCACACCTGCCACGCAAAACGAAGGTGGACGTCGCCAAGTGCCACACCTGCCACGCAAAGTGCCGCGGCGCCCCGGGCAACCAACCGGGACCAAGCGCGCCACCAGATCCAGCCCAGTGCCATAAGTGCAACGCCTGCCACGCAAAGAGCACGCCTGCCAAAGTTGTGTGTGAAAGATGGTGTGTGACAAAGTTGTATGTGACAAAGTTGTACGTGAAAGATGGTATGTGGCAAAGTTGTATGTGACAGTATGTGACAAAGTTGTGTGCGACGAAGTGGTGTGTGTGTGTGTGACAAAGTTCCGTGTGTGTGTGTGTGCGTGTGTGTGTTTGAAAGAGAGTGTGTGAGCAAGTTGTGTGTGACAATGTTGTGTGTGAAAGATGGTGTGTGACAATGTTGTGTGTGAAAGATGGTGTGTGACAAAAATGTGTGTGTGTGTGAAAAATGGTGTGTGTGTGTGTGTAACATCTGGATAGATGTAAAACTTCCTTCTTTTTTCTTCCCTCTTCTCCCTTTTTCAAATAATGCAGGGGGACTGGAGCCGATTTGCCTATCCAGTCCAACGAAGCTATGGCATTTCGGTGGATGAGTGGTCTGATCAACCACTTGTACCTGCATCATTTTTTGCGTCGTAGATTAATTTGTTTCTCATCTAATCTGCATGTTACAGGATTCAGTTCCTGCCGGATCACTACAATGATCCATTCTTATCTAGTGTGATTCCTATGGTGACTCCGACATGGTGCCATAAGGCCAATTGAGGCAACCCTGTGTGGGGTGAGTGTCGACTGACTTGAATTCCGAATTTACACATTTTAATCTGGTAATTCGTTTAAGTAAAGTGAAACAGCTAGCCTTGCGGTTTTTCAGTCTTTTAGGGTTGTCCCGCTACTCTTGTGGTCCCAGGGAACCTCGTGAAAGCAGTTTACAGTGAAGCGGGGCTGAACATTCAGAACCCCCTTTTTCGCAGCAACTTTTGCAGTCACATTGCATCATTACATGACAGAGGATTCAGGCAGGCACACGTCCTTTAGGTGTGGTCTTCTTTCTTTTGATGGTTGTTTGGTGAGGTGAACCATATTGTGCACCTAATTCGCTGGAACTTGAAAGCCGTTTTAGCCAATTGGGGCAGACTTGACCACGGTCCCGGCAAGGGAATAACGCACGACCTTCAGGTAGTTAGGAACTGAGTCCTGTTTTTAATTAATTGTTTTGGTTTTCTTGTCTGTCATCAACTAGTCCCCCATTTGGTCCCTAATTTTCCCCGCGTGCCTCTCCGTAATGTGTCGTGGGGTTTAGGTGTGTGCGCTGTTTTGGTCAAGTCCGTTTCGCCGTGTAGGTTGGTTCCGGAGGTCCGTTTGTTCCCCTCCCCCACCCTGCGCTTCTGCCCGTCGTGTGTCCGCTTTTCTCTTCCTCTTGCCTTTCAGGGTTTTCCCGGCTCTGCCGGGTGTGTGTGTGTGTATGTGTGTGTGTGTGTCTGTCTGTCTGTGTGTCTGTCTGTCTGTCTGTCTGTCTGTCTGTCTGTCTGTCTGTCTGTCTGTCTGTCTGTCTGTCTGTCTGTCTGTCTGTGTCTGTCTGTCTGTGTCTGTAACATCTGGATAGATGTAAAACTTCCTTCTTTTTTCTTCCCTCTTCTCCCTTTTTCAAATAATGCAGGGGGACTGGAGCCGATTTGCCTATCCAGTCCAACGAAGCTATGGCATTTCGGTGGATGAGTGGTCTGATCAACCACTTGTACCTGCATCATTTTTTGCGTCGTAGATTAATTTGTTTCTCATCTAATCTGCATGTTACAGGATTCAGTTCCTGCCGGATCACTACAATGATCCATTCTTATCTAGTGTGTGTGTGACAAAGTTTTGTGAGCAAGTTGCGTGTGTGTGTGACAATGTTGTGTGTGAAAGATGGTGTGTGACAAAGTTGTGTGTGTGAAAGATGGTGTGTGACAAAGCAATGTTGTGTGTGGAAGGGAGTGTTGTGTGTGAAAGATGGTGTGTGACAAAGTTGTGTGTGAAAGATGGTATGTGACAATGTTGTGTGTGAAAGATGGTGTGTGTGCGTGTGTGTGTGTGTGACAAAGTTGTGTGTGACAAAGTTGTGTGTGACAAAGCGCGCGCGGAGGAGGAGGAGGAGGAGGAGGACGAGGAGGAGGAGGAGGAGGAGGACGCGGACGGGATACAGAACCAAAAACAAAAACCCCACACAAAGATGTGGGGAACAACTTTCGCATAGCTTCACACAGTCCACTGAGAGGCCAGCAAACACAAGCCTTCGCTGTGGAGTTGGTGCCTGGCATTCTGCAACATTCTGTTGGTGTCAATCTCAAATTGTGCAACCGAGTCTTTAGAAATTGCAGACCAACTCGGAATCAAATCTTGGAGCCTCTTCCTCGTCTGGAGGATCCTCCTGCATCGGGTGTAGCCGCTATAGCCGCCTATTAAATGGTCAATGTACAGCTCTGGTTTGGAGAGAATTGAATTGCCATGGCCATTTCTGGCAAGGTCGTTTTGCAGTCCTGCTTGTTATCCCTGCTGTTCTGAACTCCTGTCACATGTGAAGTGAACTGCTAGCGCGGCAGCTGTTGTCAGCTCTCCTTCATGGCGGACTTGGCGGGATGCAGGCGCGCTTTGTCCAACCATGCTCCCTGATGGGCCAGGTGCCTCAGCGCCCAACATTGCAACATTGCAATACAACATGATACAACCAATGCATACGAATTCATACCAATTCATACGAATTCAGAGCAATTCCACCTATTCTGAAGACCTATCAGGACCTATCACTCTGCCAAGCATTTGACCCTCTGCTCGGAAGAAACCTGCTTTCAGACTGAAGCATCGGGACTAGTGTTGACACCACTGGGCAAAGTATTCAGGCCAGAGCTAGCGGCGGCAAGTCGTCATCTGGGTCACCCCTCATGGGAAAATTCAATACAACAAAGCAAACTATACAGACATCGCGCTAGATATTGCATGTTGCAAACAAAGTAAAAGTAGATTGGATTCTGCTTCTCAAACATTTCTTTTCAATAAAGCTAGTGTGGAATTCAGATGCAGAGTTGGCACTGAGGTGTCAACACTCCATTGAACAGAGCCCCATAGTCAAGGCCATCGTTGTCAGACCTTTCGTCAGCAAAAAAGGATCAAACAGGATAGGAAGCAGCTTGAAGCCCAGACCCCCTTTCACTACCCCAGTTACTTCCAGTTACTTCAGGTTTCTTCCAGTTTCTTCCAGTTACTTCAGTTCACCTTCCATTTGTCGAAGTAGTTCCGCCACCAGCTTTGGCCTTGACAAATGTGCCATTGAAATCCATCAGAATTGTCTAGAAAAGCTCCTCTGTCGACGGGTTTGTCACTAGAAGTCCTAAGCCATGAAGCACAACTGCATCATTTTGGCCCCGCACATTTGGAAGCCTCTTGTAGAGCTGGTCCCAATCAGGACCTCAACTTAGATCAAGTTAGCTTTCAGATACCATGAGGTTTTCAGAAAAGTCCAAAGAAGACTGAAGAATTGAGTCGCCGGGAGTCGTGCCGACCGCATTTCCAGGCCTTCAGTTTTGCTCCAGACTTAATTCACCAGCACATCAATTTTCAAAACTTCACTGCCTCCAATCCTCTCCATGGGCTGAACTCTGAACCTCGCAGTTGTCGCAATTGTTCAACACCACTCAACCCCTCCAGATTTCTCCACACCTCTGGCTCGTCTTGCAGGTCATCAAAAAGGCTTTCCCACTCTGGCCTCTTTTTTTGACAGCAATGAAGTGCGTTCCAACATTTGGTTGCGACACGTGGCTTGTAAATATGTAGCTCCTCATCTTTTGCACATGTTGCGACATTTGTGCGGTTACTGTTGACATCTGTTGATTTTTAAACTTAATTTTCGTTGGCGCAGCCAGGGTGCTCAGGGTGCCCAGCGTGAGGGTCCCACGACAAGAAACACTAGAGAAATGATCAATTTTGCAGTTTGTTATCACTTGTCATCAGATCCAAGCCTCTCTCCATTAGCCTCAATGCCTTATTCAAATGTCAAGGAACTAAAAAACATTCTACAGAGGATAACCGGTGAGGTCAAACACATAACATCACAGTCATGCTGAACCTGGACAACTAATTCCACATAGTTCCACCGTCTCAACTCCGGTATGTTTGAGGCTGCAACTCTCACCTATGTTGGCCTGACATCAAGGTGAATACCCCTCACGAACAGCCTCTTCTGAAGAGGAACAGCAATGAAGGATCGGATGGATCCGAGAAACAGGGCAAGAAAGGTCTGAAGAGGAGAGAAAAGGTGAGCGAAAAGGTTTCCAATCATTGCCAATCTCAGTGTCAGACCTCTTTGGAGCGAGTGCTTGTGGATTTTCCTAAGGCCATGGCATTCACTCACAAATTGCCACAGAGATCATCATGTACATCATGTCGATATACATACGATGTCATGTTGTTGCAGTACATGTGTCATAAGATATCATTATCATTGTATGTATTGTAAAGTCATGGCATATTAAATTATCTCCTGCCTTGGGACGTAGCACAACTAAGAATGCCACCAGGAGCCGCTGACAACTGCCTCAAGAAAATTATCTTCCGGATCTGCGGGCTCTCCAACCGATTTTACTTTGCACTGCCCTTTTTCGTTCTGTACAACTCTTCGCATGTACTGATCAAGTGTTCTTCCCGAGTTTAAGGCCCGTAGTCCGCTGCGCCAGCGAGAGAGTCAATACCATCAGGGCCCAGGATATTTTGCCTTGGAAAATCACTGTAATCTTTCGTGTGCCGACTTCCTCTCTCAGGAGTCCAAATATAAAAAGTTCCAAGACACAGAATCACTGTCCAGATCTGTCCAGTAAACTGTACTCTGAGAGTCTGCACAGGGTGCTTGCTTTGGGATAAGGTCTTGGTTCAGCAGCGATGGGCCTGGGAAGGTTTTAAGGATTACCAACCCACAAAAAGCAGCAAGATTTGTAACATATTTGTAACATAATGATGGCCTCTCGCTGTGCAAGGATGGAAGAACACCTCCTGCAAAGTTTCCCCAGCTTCAACGCTCCAGTCGATTTTCTAGGCAATTCAAGTCCTGGAGGTAGTCGAAAGCGACTCCCTGTCACAGCTGCACCACCTTAATTACCCATGGATGCATCCAAATCAACACACACATATATGTATGTATGTACGTATGTATATATATATATATATTATATGTATATATATATACATATCATGTAAACAATGATATCATTATTATAATACATACATAATATATATATATATGCATATATATATAGTATTCATGAATGTCATGAATATTCGTGAATATATGATCTATCATGATATGACACATTAATATACATATATATATATATTATTTATTTATTTATTCATTTAATTATTTATTTATTTATTTATATAAGCGCCACTTCCAACTCAGATTCCTAGGCACTACGTTGCACGCCTGCGTGCCATCCTTTTTTCCTGAGGAGTTTCATGGTGTGTTTCCAACTTTTGTAGCAATATTTATAACAATTGAGTTGCTGGATGTTCGCGCCACGGGCGTTGGACAACACACAATCCTCGCTGCTCGGAGCCTGAAGGTGACACCGCACTGGAGCAGCTGCCGCACTTTTACCATCATTTCTTTCCTGACTTATCCTCACTTGACCTTGATTTTTTTCCTGTTGCATCTGTAAAAATGTGTTGGGCGGGACTGCGAAAGCGAATGCAACTACGCGTGATCGGACATAGCGTTAGATGCTCTCGGCCAAACAAACTCCGAAACAATAAATACACTTGAGGCCGGGGGTGGATGACGAAAGCTAGCGGGGTAGGAGAAAGAAGGAAGGGAAGAGGTGAGTTGCGGAGGGACTGTCATCATCGTGTCGCGGCATTGTTCGTCCCAACGAGGATGCAACAATGATATATTGATATATGATATATGACAATGATATATATGGGGGAGGGGGCAGGGGGGGCCCTTTCGCGGGAAAAATCACGTGATGTCCTTGGGGAGCCCCGGAATACGTGCTAAAGCAAGAAGACTCTAGCGAGCTGACGCTAGCTTTCGTGATAATGACAATAATTGCCAATAATGATAAAATGTAATTGAATAACGATATGATGAATGATGATGATGATGATGATGATGACGAGGACGCGGACGAGGACGATGGAGAGGACGATGACGATGATGATGACGATGATGATGACGATGATGATAGATAGATAGATAGATAGATAGATAGATAGATAGATAGATAGATAGATAGATAGATAGATAGATAGATAGATAGATAGATAGAGAGAGAGAGAGATAGATAGATAGATAGATAGAGAGAGAGAGAGAGATAGATAGA